GTCCTCGGCAACGCTTGGCTCGATCGAAATTCGCCACTGGCTTCGGCCTGACGCAGCTCCTCTTTGCTCCCACCAGCCACGATTGGCCAAACGGTTGAGCATCTTGCAACAGTTTGCCCCTTCGATTGGTAAAGTCGTCCTTCGGCAGGGAGTTGAAGTTGCCGCACAGACCGCACAACCGTCCCCTGTACGAAGTCGGCGCCGACACCTCGAGGAAACTGATCCCGTCCCAGAGGACCTTGATTCCGATCTGCGTGCTCACCACTATGCTGTCGGCCGTGCGATTCACGTCCAGCCGGTTCGCCACGCGATACGGTATATCCACCTTCTTCCCGTTCACCTTCACTCGCATCTTTTGACCGAGATTCACCTTCAAGTCGCCCACCTACGAGCACCGAGGCGCGCCATCGTGGCACGCACGTGATTGCCTTTCTCTGGTTCTCTCTGGTGATCGCGAGATTCGCGAGAGAGAGTTTCTGTCGCTCACCTTGATCGCGATCGTTTTCGTCCAAGCGGAGAATCTCGTCGATCTGGCGTCGTTGGTCACTCGAACGCTGAACGTGTGCCCGGAACAGTCGCTGGCCAGCTGGTACTTGCAAGCTCCCTTGAAGCTGAAAAACTTGCCGTCGAACGTGCGATAGTGCGGGTCACCGAACACCGTGCACACTCCGTCGCCTGTGTGTGAGACAACAACAAACAACAACAAGTTGTTTCCATCGGAAAGAGGAAATAACGAGAAAAGATGAGAAACGCTTACTTTCGACGCAACGAGGACAACACTGACCCTCCGGATGCTCCAGTCTCGAGTTTGGAGGACAGGGCAAGTTCAACGGCGGACACATGGGCATCGCGCACCGTACCTTGCCTTGCATGCAGGCGCATGCCTTGCACGAGTCAAGCTTCCAACTTTCGCCATCCTGCCTAGGACAAAACAGTACCTTTAATAATAAACGTTCGAACGACGACGGCGACTACGACGACGCGGAACGGAGGAAATACTCGCCCCGTAAGTTTTGCCGGCGTAGGTGCACGACGGTCGAACCTCCTCGACCTCGGGGCACTGGGGGCAGCAACGACCTGGCAACGCGATCTGATGCTCGGCCGGGCACTCGTGCACCGGGCAAGTCTCTCGAACGCACGAGACGGTGGAATTGGAGCAGCTGCACCGCGTGCACTGGTCCAGGTAGAACTGCATCCCGGAATTGTAGACGCCGGTACCGAGCATGCAGGCGCCCTTCGGCGGCGAGAAGTACCTTCGGCTGCCTGTATATTCGTCAAGACGAAGAGAAACACTTACAACGACACACGATCGATAATAACAACAATTTTCACAATTTCCTCCCTTCTTTCGCAACCGTACCCTTGCAACGTGGACAACACTCGCCAGAGTCGTGGACGATTTTCGAGCCAGGGCAGTGCAACACCGGGCAAGCCTGTTTCGCGCAGGTGAGTCGACCAGCGGCGTTGCATCTGCAAGTGACGCAGGGGTCCTCGGTGGTGGTCACCGACCTGTCCGCCGTCACCAGCTGCCCGTTCACGTGACAGCCTGCGAACAACACGGGAAAAGCAACGTCGATCGACCGATTGCCGATCTGCCGACAATGACTCGCATACTTACCGGCGCACATTGGACAACACTGGCCGGCCACGGCCGGGATAGGGTTCGAACACGGCGTGTAACAGTGCAATCGAGACTCGGTGATCACTCCGGCCTTGCAGCTGAAGATCCTGCACGGGTCGTTCTCCTCGGTCCACTCGGTCTCGGATCCATGGTGCACTCCGTTTTGCACGCAACCTTCGCGATTCGGCCGATCGAGAGGGAAGGTTAATTTTGTAATCCCGTTTGTATCGCGGTGAGCAAAATACCGATAAGTGATCGCAGCCAGCGAGTTGGAAAATTTTGTAAAAATTTCGCGAAGGAAATACAACACTGCTGGCGGAAGAAATATTAGTGGAAACTGTAAGTTACAACATTCTGTGTACTAAAACTACTACCTTTTAAAACCCCTTTCGTTCCGTGTGTGGTAAGAGATTATCGTGATTAAAAGAAATCTTGGCTTGTTTGAAAAAAAAAAAAAAA